TAAAAATCTGCAATTGCAAATAAAGCATCAAGAATCATAAAGATGTTGGAAGTCCTTGGTTGTAACAAAATAAAACCTAGATTACTTTTGTCTAGCTTCTATTTGGATGAAATATACTGCTCATCTGTTTTTCTTAAAGAATAACAGTTCCAATAACAGTACATCTCTCCTGACATATTTTTTGTCATTGGTCGAATTCTGGTGTGCCTAAGCCAGCAAGCAGTCCCTAGAGCCACCTGCACGCTCCCCAGGATATGCTCAGTGGAGTAAGTGTTCTGTATCACCATACAATTTTGGCCATGAGAGCTAAGACCTGACTGTCTTCAGAGGTGATCACTTCTAACTCCACAGTGAACTGTGAACTGGCTACTTTATGCAAGGGAAAGGAGACCACCCTCTGAGTTTTTCTTTCCTCTAAAGTTGGCAGCAATTAAGTAGCCATTTCCTCAGTTTTTTGACTCAACGACTGGCCTGGTTCTTCTGCTTTTAATGAAACTTTTGTGGTGTAATAAAGAAGGGTATCCGTAATACAGACCTGTATAGCCAGGACAGGGCAGAGTCAGAAGAACTTTCCTAATAAAAAGTTCTGGGCAGCCCTGTGATCATTCCCAAGCTAGTCTGTGCTATGAGCTGTTGTAAAGGCATCTCAAGTTTTATTATGCCTAAACTGCAGAAGGCCTCTTCCTGGCAATGGCTGTTGGTGCCAGATCCACCAGGAAGCACAGTCTTTTCAAGACTGTTTAGAATTCAGAAGACTTAGTTTTGTTTATTGAAAGTACAGCCTCGGTCTCAGCTGCTTTAAGTTTGCCATTTGCTGCAGAATTTGTTAAAAGGGTGGTACTAGAGAGCGAAAACTCAAACTCATGAGATGTTTCTAGAAGTCTGATCTTAAAATTCTGCTCTAAATGCAGTGGTAGAATAGCAGACAGTGTTTTGTTCTTTAGGAGACTCATGATTATTGGGGTGTGATTCAGTCTATTGCACATCTGTGTGGTGTAATATTATGACCTGAACACCAAGCACAGTAAAGTTCAATAAAGTCTTGCCACCACCATCGGTGGATTTTGGATTAGGCCACATATGTGCAGGCAGCTCATCCTGAGCATAGAAAAGGCAACACAATTTTCTAAAAGAAGGATGAAATAAAGCAAAATGTAGTGAGTGTGAAACTACAGGAAGCTTATTAAAATTTTGTCATATGTTGGTAATGAAAGCATATCGAGCTAATGCAAATATGCAACTATAGTCAGTGAAGCAGTGTTAATCCCTCAAACAAGGATTAAATACTTTTTAAAATAATTTTTGGCTCTAAGTTCTGACCATTTGTGTTTGCTTTCCTCAGATATTTTAGCAAACCAGTTTACTCATAGAAGTATTCACGTTTTAAACAGATATTCGAGAATATTTGCTAAAAATATGGTTTTAGTAAATATTAATAACAATAAATGTCTATGTTTGGTCTAGAAAACAAGCCACAAAAGTTGCTAAGCCTGACCAAAGAACATGAGTAATGGTAGGTGGTGAATACCTCTAGTGACAGCTAGCAAACGTATCTTTAACTCTGACCATCATATACCTGCACTAAGGTTGGTATTAGACGGTTGATTATTATCAAAAATTGTTGTTACCAAACAATTTGGATACATTGGAAGAAATAAGCTATTGATTCTTACCATATAGAGTTACTATGTGGGAAATAATGGGTCACTAAGGCTTACTTAGCTCTGGTCACAATTAAAGAGGCGCAATGTCACAGCATATTGATAAAGCGCAGGAAATGCCGAAATCTGCCGTGCGAAGGGCGGCGATGGGTGATCCCCCGTCGTTACCGAGGTCAGAAATCGTGAGAGGGCACCGGAGGAGCGCGGGGAAGGCGATCGGGGAGCCCGGGCGCACGCTGCCCTCCCGCCACGCCGCCTCTCCGCGGGGGGTTTCACCTCCGAACGGCTCCGGCTGAAACGACG